TTGCATAAACCTATAACCGTTCGTGCATAAATAAAAACCTATAGCAGTTTCTTCAGATTTTTAGCAGATTAACTCCGCAGGATGAGGTCGGAGCTAACTCACCTCCGGGAGTGTACCTATATAAATAAATTGATAAATACACAAATAAACGTCTTCAGCTGTTTTTGCTTGAACCTATAACCGTTTATGTACGAAAACCTATAGCCGTTTCTTCAGCTTTTTAGCAGAATAACTCCGCAGGGTAATATTGGAGCTGACTCACCTTTGGTAGTGGCTTCTTTTCTCTGATGTGAATCTGGTTAATCTCAATCATATTTGGAACGTTAGGCCTGATAGGATGAATGATTGGATTGACTGTTGTCAGAACAAGGCTCATATTCTTTTCCACGTCTCCCAAGTAAGGAATATTCTCCCCAAAATGTTTCCTGGCTACCTTGTCTGCCATTGGAAGGGCGTACCAGTAATATAGAATTCTGTATAGTATGTTGTGGAGTACGCTAGATATCTTATCGAAGAAACCCAATTTTCCGTGGAGATTGAGCATGATATCTGGAGCTACCAGTGGATGGGTTGGATTTCCTACCGCATCATGGGCATGAAGGTACAAATCCATAGAAGATATTCCTGAAATAAATGATGTTTTTACTGGAATCCATTAATTTCAAATGATATTGTAATAGAAAAAAATTGATAGTGAAAATTAAGGAATTAAGTACAATTGATCTACAGTTCAAATGTACCAAGGATACTTCGAAGTCCAGAGTCTTTTGCATGTTCCCCAAGAACTATAGAGATTTCATTCCATTTCGTTTATTTTCATTTCCTTCCGACTTCATCTGTTTCGTTCTTTTCGTTTCTTCTTGTCTCTTTTCGTTTTGTTTTCTTCCGTTTTGTTTCGTTTCGTCTCTTTTCGATTCCCTTTCTTTCCTTTCATTCCATTTTGTTTCGTTTGGTTTCCTTTCCTTTCTATTCCTTCCATTTCGTTTGGTTTCATTTTCTTTCGTTTCGTTTCCTTTTCTTTCATTTCGTTTGCTTTCGTTTCTTTTCGTTTTCTTCCATTTCTTTTTTTTTCATTTCGTTTCGTCTCTTTTTATTTCGTTCCGTTTCTTTTGCTTTCTTTTGGTTTGCTTTCGTCTCTTTTAGTTTCTTTTCATTTCATTCCGTTTTATTTGCTTTCATTTCGTTTTGTTTTCTTCCGTTTCGTGTCGCCTCTTTCCTTTTCTTTTCCTTTCGTTTCGTTTCGATTATTTCCGTTTGCTTTCCTTTTCTTTCATTTCCATCCGATTCGTTTCGTTTCTTCTCATTGCGTTTCGTTTCGCTTCGTCTCTTTCCGTTTCGTTTCGTTTCGTTTCTTTTCATTTTTCATTCGATTGATGACCTATTCATTTTGTAGAATTCCATATTGACTATAGGATGAAGAAAATAACTTTCGTCTGAAGTCTACTGAGTTTTTCATTTGTCACGACCGGTTTCAGTTTGTTGAACCATTTTCTGTCAAAATGAATCAGCTCCAAACTTGGAACTGAATTGATGAACAACTCATTTTTATCGCCAACATTCTTCGAATTATTTGGTAGATTGATCCGTTTTTGTTATTGTGATATTCAATTTTAGCGTTTTTCACAACTTGGAATTACTATTCTGCAATTCATATGTGAAATATGCGTTTGACATCATTATTTTAACATAGTTCCGCATATCATTATGAANTTACATTTTTTAAGTTACCGTCTCACGCGATATCGCATCAAATGTTCAAATTGTCTTCCATCATTTCTTAAACAAATACTTGCTACAGAAATAGTGTACTTGTGGCAGTTCTCTAACATCTGTGGAGTGATAGCGATGCAGGCACTCCTTATTGAATCTTTCAATTCTTCATTATTTTCAATATTTCTGAATACTTGATCTTTTATGGAGCCCATAATTTCTTAAACAAATACTTGCTCTAGAAATACTGTGCTCGTGGCAGTTCTCTTACATCTGTGGAGTGATAGCGATGCAGGCACTCCTTATTGAATCTTTCAATTCCTCAATTTTCAATTAAAATTTGTTCTGAATAATTTATCCTTTATGAAGCCCCACAACGAAAAATCTAGAAGGGAAAGGTCCGGTGAACATAGTGGCCAATTAATAGGACAATTATTTCCTATCCATCCCTGGCATAACTGTATTCAGGAAATTTCCGCACAATCTCCTGAAATGGACACAACACTCCAAAAAGGAGGCAAACTACGGAAACGTGTTTCTGGATATTGACGAATCGTTTTACTTCTGATTCATATCATACACACTCGATAAAATATATATCTGTATTCATATTCTGAACCCGGATTTCACGTAACTAGCTATAGCTGCCTACGTGGTCACGTTAGATATAGCCTGGGAATTCTAGGGGTCTTCTAATTGAAACCACAAATGTGCGGTTGGCCCCCGTTGTTGACTCCTTGCTGTTGTTTCCTGTTTTCGGCAAAGAAGTGTTGCCCATCTTTACACTTGGCTGCACCGCTGATGGGGCCAATAGCCAGAAACACGTGTCCGCGGTTTGCCCCGTTTTAGGAGTGTTGTGTCCACGAATCGTTTCATTTTTGATTTATATCATACACACTATATAAACTATCTTAATGCTAGAAGTTGCCCCTTTCCTCTCATGCAGACCTACGACTTTGTAGGTGCCTGTGGCAGATACCCAATGGAAAAACAATAACTCACCCAGCTAATGCCGCACAGAGAGTTAAAATAAAACCATCAGGAACCTGAGTAACGTCTTCGTCTTGGAGGATTCGTCGCAATTTCCCATTATGAAAAGCAGAAATTAATTTCATTTGGTCGATTCGACCAACCGATAGACCGGTTTCGGAGTGATTGCCCCATCATCAGTACTAGGCTTGATCTCTTCAGAGTTGTTTCCTGGCTCTGGCTGCAGGTGGAACAGTGACCATCCCACTGAATCAACTGCAGAGAGATTCTATGACTAGCTGGAGTTCTGAAGAGACCCTGCCCGGTACTGATAATTTCTGTTTTCATAGTGGGAAATAACTTGCAACGTATCTTTCAAGTTGAAGACGTTGCACAGGTGCCTGATGGTTTTACTGCAACACTCTGCGCGGCATTAGCTGGGTGAGTTGTTGTTTTTCCATTGGGTATCTGCCACATATACCTACGAAGTCGTAGGTCTACATGAGAGGAAAGGGGCAACCTTGAGCGTGTCATAATGCACCTCTCCGGAATATTATTCATTATATATATTCAATCACTTTTGAAAAATCTTTCAGACCATTTTTTAACCTCAAGAGGTTGGGAGTGAAAAGTAGTAGTTCAACACCTTTTTTGCATATTTTTGAAAGACGATTTCCACAATCCGTTTGAAATCTTTACGATTATATCACACTTCACATTTATTCAAAAAATATGCATAAAGAATTTGGAAACTTGTGTAATATCCAGCTCAACTGAATGAATAATCAGAAAAAACTCACCAATAAGGGGGCTCTCAAATTTTGAGGCAATGCCATGCACTAAAGGATATATATGACTGAATTGAACAAGAATCACATCGTAATATTCAGTCTTATTATTAGTTATAGATTTTACTTCTTTCTGTTCGAGCTCGATGTCCATAACTTCTTGAAAAAATGTGTAAATATTCATGATGGATCTCATTTGATGATTTTCTAAGCTGATTTTCTTGGCTACATTCCATTCCTCCATCATTTTGTAGACGAATCCGACGTCTATTTCTTTTAATTTATTCAAATCGGGCTCATTCAGCACATTCGGTGATATAACTGTCACATCGTGGCCACGTAAACTGAGTTCTTTCCAAATAGACTGAAAAATTCTCTGATGACTCAAAGAAGGAATAGGAAAAAATCCTAAAATTCTGGAAGAGTTTCCAGGACTGAAGAAAACAACTATTGTTATTAAAATTCTGAATCTCATTTCAGCTGAATGCATGAACAAACTAACTATGAATCACTATGACGACCTTTTCATATATTTTAATTATCGATACTGATACTGAATATATCGTTGAATAGTAATACAGGGGGAGTCAAAAAGTATTTTCAACGAATCAGCAAGAATATGATGTTCGGCTGTGGTTTTTCAATAAGTGGTACTGAACCGATCTTGAGATGTCTTATCGGATTTGCCAAACCTATCCATGAGAAAACTAATAATTCTTCCTCATGAATTTGTAGTCAAAACTTTTTTATTACGCATAGAATAATAGATATTGACTATTGTCAGCTGAACTATAAGTGTAGCAGCAGAGTATACAGTCCGGTTCACGAGTGCCATTTTATAAGCAACTTGATCTCCAGAACAGAAAATATGCTTTATAGATTGTGTTGTGTCAGGTTAGGTAAAAGTCAGTGAGCCTATTGGACTCTCCTCCACAACCCGCTGTGGTTTATTGTGTGATCTTTCAGATCAGATGGTACATGTATGGTTCTACCAAGATATGAAAACCTGATGAACTCCGCAGCGGGGTAGCCGCAAGGTACATGATCTGCTGTTTGTGTCACACACTGTCTTCCGACAGTCTGAATCTCTGCATATGATGATTCAAATGACAGTGACCTGTAGGGAGGCCTGTAATTTCTGTATCTGTGTCTGTAGAGTAGGGAGGGTTGGTGTAGTCACGTGCGACCCATTGTACATCTTCCCGAGGAGTTCTCTTCCTAGGTCGGCGTCCATCCTGTCCTTTCTGGGAAGGTGGACAGGTCACTAGGAGACATATCGGCAGGTGTAGGCGAAACACACACTATCTCATTGATGATAACTCCGGACACTAGCATAAGACATGCCTGACAGTTTCATCTTCCTGTTCATACATCCTGCATAGAGGTGTGTCCACTAACCCCATAATATAGAGATGTTTTCTTAATTGACAGTGACCAGTCAGAAATCATACTGTTGAGAGTAGGTTTTTCTTGGTTATCACCAGATATTTCTTCGGTGATAGCTTCCGAGGGTCGCCCAGGGTGATCCTGGCAAGACTGCATCCTTTGATTCCACCCCATCTCTTTAGGGATTGAGCATGTGTGTGATATTTGGCTATTTCCGCAATTGTTGAAGTCATCAGGCCGTAGGTGTCACTGGGTCCTAAAATTCTCAGTCCAGCTGCTTCCTTGGCTGAAGAATCGGCAATACGATTACCTATACTCCTGTGGTGCCCTACAACCCACTTCAAAATAATATCAATCATCATCCGAGGTTTTGGCTAAATCTTGGTGGCACTCCACTACTAGTCCTGAGGCTAGTACTAGAGTAGTGTGTGCCTTTTGTAGTCCAACACCTGTTTCTGATTTAAAAAAAAACTGTTTTTCCATCAACCAGCTGTCGTACCCCTACGAACGACAGCCCTCAGAAGTCGAAACTTGTGCCAGCCAAGGATCAAAGGTCTTACCTTTCAACGTATGATTCCTAACACGGGTTGGACGATAGTAAGTTCAGACTAGAACTTGAACCACCGACCAACACGGCAGTCAACTCGAGTGAGTGAACAAAGCACCCACGTCGAACCGACTGGCTGCCTGGTTACCGACCGATTTCAAGCTTGGAAGGGTGAATGAACGCTTTGGAGGTAGCTAATCCTGGAAGATTTTGTCAGAAGTGTTTAAATATTCTTGACATCCAGGTGTTCGTTTGACAAAACCTAAAGCGATGCCAATGATAGGTTCTGGTCCGATGAAGCTACTTGCAGCACCCTTCTTTGCGAGGGAGTCAGCAGCCCCACTGTCTTCCAGGTCAATGTGGCCAGGAATCTGAACCAGAGACAATTTGTTAGGTATTCCTATTGGGTAGAGTCGTTTTTGGCAATTCGCTACCAACTTAGAAGTTGCTTGGTAGGAGCCAAGAGCTCCCAACTCCGCTTGATTATCTGACAAAAATTCAATTCAATAGCATAGATTTCCACTTGAGATACAGTCGCACAGGTCCCTAGGCAGGTTGATATCTCTGTCCTGGGTCTGCAACTGAAAACACCTACACCAGAGCCTGGAGGTGTTTTTGATCCATTTGTGATCCTACAACTATCTGCTCTTGATATTTCCTTCTCCCGGAGGATCCAATCCTCTCTACTCTGAAAAAGTATTTTATAAGGAAGTTCGTAGTTAACAGTTGGAGACATACTGTCAGGAGTCATTCCCAAAATGCTGTAACTTCTAGTGTCAGCCAACAGTTTAATGTACTCTGCATTAGATTGCAATTGCGGATGTGCACAAGTCTATATGTAGTCCATATAGCCTCTCTCTTCAGAAAAATGTGGATAGGAGGTAGATCTAGAAGGATCTCCATGGCCGCTGACGATGTGGTATTGATGGCGCCACTGATGGCCAGACAAGCTTCGGCTGAGCCATTGTCTCTAAAGCCTTTGGCCACCAGACAATTGCTCCATAAGTGATCATTGGTCTGACAATCATCAGGTATATCCAAAGGAATGACCTCACAGTTGAGGGAAAGCGCTGAATCGGCCAATTTTCTCCTACTGGTGAATGGAATTATCACAGTTGTTCTGAGGTTGACAGACATCTGCTGCCTCTGGTACCAATTGTTTACTTTCTAATACAGTGGATATTCTTCAAACAACCCGGGTACTTCTGGGACGACCGTCGACATATCAATGGTTGAAAATAGATGGGGAAGTGACGGTGTTGATCTGTTCAAATTAGTCACGTAGCATTTTATAGTCAGATATAAATTCTCTATCATCCACTCTATATTTATTCATTTTTCTGTTCTCCTTTATGTTTGAGATGAAAGCATGTTTTAGAGTTTTGAACCAAAATAGAAAATATATCTGTATGTATGGCTTCTCCTGAATTTTGGTACTTTGGTGTGGAGAGATATTCCACTGATCTAGTTTGTCTTTCTTCCAAGGTTTTTTAGATCTGTTTTTATTCATAAACATCCATAGTAAACATTCTTGAGAGTATAGGCATCGTAGATCGAAAACTTTTACAACTTTGTACAGTTTATCAGTAGAGTAGAGTTTTGATCTTCTAAATGATACTTTGAGAAAAGGGTTTCGAGTAGTTTGTAATCAACATAATGTAGTATCGTACATTCTACCCCCAGGCAGTGTTCCAATATGTGGAAACAAACCGATTACGCTTAGGAAGTGTACATCATTATCAGATTTTTTGTCAAATATTTCGCGTAGAGTATAAACATTCCTCATCGAGATTCTCAGTCGTTTCACTACGTAGTTAAGATGAGCATTCCATATTGAGTATTGGTCTATCATCACCCCTAAATATGTTGTATCTTCTGGGAATAGTTTGTTATATCTAGGTTAATCACTTTTTTGTAACGTTAAGATTAAAAATTTAGTTTATTCAATATTCAAACTCAATTAGTTATAGTTCAGTCATGATTATATGTCACATAGTACTTCTTCTGAATCATTGTATACCTTTCAATCAGATATTTCAATCAGATATCAAGTGTTCAAGACATCAAGTACCCTTCAAATTCATCAATTGAATCGATACTATTTATATAAACGAGACACAGTATTGTACCAAGAACTGTTCCTTGAAGTACCCCTATTGTGACCTCCCTAAGAGTGCCTTGATGACTGTCAATTCCAGTTTTTTGTATCCTATGATCTAGATAATTCTGAAGTAAACGGAAAGTTGGTCCTCGTGCACCATACTGATATAAAAAGGAAAATTGGTATACGTTTTTCAGACTCATCAAAAGCGTTCACGGTTTTCTCAGTCAGACCATTATAGCACGTTCGTTATTGAAATAACTGACGAAACTATACAGCTTTTTTGTTATAACTTGATTGTCAGTAAAGAAACTCATCAGCCTTGTCTTTAGAGAGAGTTCAAAATGCTTCGCGAAATTATAGGTCTATAGTTCCCAAGGAAATTTCGTTTTCCTGTTTTCTATACCGAAGTAACAAGTGCCTGTTTCCATTGGGATGGAATTTTGTCCATTTTGATGGTTGAATCCATGATATGATGTTATGTATATATGGATATTCTTCATAAATAACGTCGTTTATCCATCTGGTCCAGGCGAACAATTATTTTTCAGTATAGTAATCAATTCTATACTTCCTTCTTTTGTTACTGTGGTCGAAGAACATGGTAGACTATACCGAAAAGTTTTTCAGAACAGGCAGTGGTAATGATTGAACTTTTTCCATTGAAATGTCCATTGAAAGCACCCAATTGAAAGTACTTCTTCTTGTGCTATCTCTCGATGCATGTTTCGCATACAAAATCACAATTAAAACGCCTGAGGAAGTTATTATATAGCGAAACACGGGTTGTGGTTTTGTAAATTATCCAGTGGAAATCTCACAATTAATTGTTACTTGAATAACAATTTATCTTCGTTAAGAGATAACTAGGTTCAACTGAATTTCTCAACTTAGAACTTCTATATATATATCGACATAGATATAATAAGATTAAAACTTTCTCTTTGAAGATGATCACTTGGTGATCGGAACACGTGTCGAGGTGTTAAAAATAATGATTTGGTGTTGGGAAAAAACTCCAGTAATATTCGTTACTACACCAAAGGTTCCAAACAGTGCATCATAAGTATATAATGTATCAGTCAAAGACCTCCATATATCGGATCACTATGCCCAAATAATTAATATTCCTCTTATTAAAGTACATGAAAAGGACACAAAGTCTAAAAATAGCTATAGAAGGCAATTATCGGAAGAAAATATTTCAACTTTCAAAATACTCTTAGCTAGCGAAAATTGGGATGACCTTTATGTTCAAAGCTGTCCAAACAAAGCATATGACGAATTTCACCAAACTATTCAATATTACTTCGAAGTAGCCTTTCCTATGAGACGTAACCAGCCCCGTTGATCAACAAATTCGTTGATTTGAAAAACTTGATGTCTCTGTACACAGATTGGGCTAGAACAAATAATGTGTATAAGAATATTAGTAGGCAGTTAACTAAAC